CAAAGACAGATTGGGGAGCTGCATAAACAGATTAGGAGGCAGGGGAGGGGGGACAATAGACGTCCATATCTGGGGGTCATTTGTGTTGAAACCTCAGAAGCAGGTCACCCACTGTTTGACAACACACACACACCACCACACACCACACACACCACACACACACACACCACACACACACACACACACACAACACACAACACACCACACACACACACACACACACAACACCCACACACACACACACACACACACACACACCACACACACACACACACACACACACACACACACACACACACACACAACACACACACAACACACACACACACACACTGCAAAGTCACACCAGCAAACACACAGACAGAACGAGGACAAAAGACTCTGAAGGCCTAAATCTCTCCCCTGCCTGCTCAGACCACTTATGTGTTATTTTGATGCGTGAGGTCATCAGTCTCAGCAGATGCATGATGGGAGTTTTTACTACCTGCAGATTTCTGAAAACATTTCCTCTTTCAGACTCAAGTGGCTCTTTTTTTTTTCATGTTCAAAATGCCTTTATTTTAAAAACCCAACCACCTGCTGTTGCGACATTTCTGCACCAAAATCATAAATCCCTGTTTCCCTGTTCAACAATCGAAAGTGCAAAACAAAATCACTGCTTCTACTCCTTCAAAGAATGAAGAAAATGTTAATTTGGTAAAGCCAACTGTTGTTTTGAAAAGCGGAGACATCATGTAGCTCACCAAACTGATCATCTGTGAGCATCTATTGTCCGAGGAGTTTTTGGTGTTTTGTGTGTTTGTTTACCTCCTGAGTTTTTGAAGCGAACTAAAGACGTCAGTAGAAGAAGACAGCAAAGAAAAGTGTCTGAAAATGAAGCTGCATGTTGTGTTTTTAAAGCAACATGAAGGCAAGATGTCTGCCTTTTTTAACACAAAACTTAGACAGAGAAGTATTTTCTTCAGGATGTGAGGGACATTAGTGAATAACAATCTGGACTTTTTCAGGGGCAGGCTTTCAGGAAAGACTGACCTCACACTAGAGGTCAGTCTCAAACAAGCCTAGTCCTAGTAGTGAGTAGAACTGGAAGGTATTTATGGAAAAAGTCAAGTAATTTAATGAAGTTAAGATTTGCTTCCTTCAGACTATCTGCAGACTTTTCTGAATGGATGATAAGTTTCACCTCTTTGTCTCACCTGTACAGGTCGGGGATCAGGCTCTTGTAGTAGTAGGTGGACAGCTGGCCCAGCAGCTGCTGGTGCTTCCGTACAGACTCAGGTAATTAGAGACGGGGAGGGGCTTCAGGGAGTAGCAGGTGAGCGTCTCCACCAGCTCGTAGCAGTCCAGGCGTAAACAAAAGTAGTCTCCTGTCGCCGCTCGTCCGGTCGCGATGCCTTTGTCCTGTAACTTTAAACGTATAAAAACACGAGTTAATGAGAGATCAGTTACATTTCAGTTTAAATCAAACCATGAGTCGACTTCTATTGTTTCAGACTGTGACCTCTCAAAGACGTGTTGTTATAAAGTATAAACCTTACGTTTTTCAGAGGAGCACCTGGCAGGCTGGCTGGAGACGGTTTTGTAAAGTGCAGGTAGTGAACACCTCCAGGGCAGCGTCCCACCTGACGACAAGCGGGGAAATATCAGTGGGTTCAAAAATAACAGGTGTGATGTCACAGTTGCTTAAATAGTTCTGTGCACCCACAAAGAATGCAGCTTCAATGACCAGTGCCATGTTTTCTCACTCGTCTGTTTCAGCCTTAATTAGCCTGAGAGTTATTCATAAATGTGCACTTTAAGGGCGTGTCAGGATGCTTGAGGCTGCCGCCCCTCAGCTCCATCTCTCTGCCTGTTTTTTGAACGCTCGAGAGTCAAGTAGCATTTACAATAATGTTGGACCATGTCTTATTCAATCTATGATCTGACTAGAATTTCTTCACACCTCCTTTCCACATCTTTAAACTGAGTGACATTTTTTAAACTAAATGTAAGTCACAGCCATGCTAATAACCCACACAGAAATAAGACTCTTCTCCTCTGTCGCCCCCGGTGGTGAACAAACTACCAAACTCCATTCCATCCGCAGAGTCCCTTTGCTCCTTTATGAAAAAGCTAAAGACCCAGCTCTTTATGAACATGACCTTAATGATTTTCATGGTGACGATGATGATAATTAGGATGATTTTGTGCTCTCCTTCTGGAACTTCCTGTCAGCTCCTGCTGTGCGTATTTTCAGACTTAAAGGAAGAATGTGCAACTTTTTGATCCAGTAGATGTCGCCCTTGAGCACCAGCATGAAACCAAAACAAACTGCTGTTTGGCCACGCCTCCTCCATACTGAAGCCTCCGCTCTCCTCCAGTGACACACCTCCAACACTGAGGGACTATTTTAATAATTAAGCACCATTAAGCGCAAGCGGTGGACGAAATCGTCCTCTGCTCGAGCTGCAATCACCTGTGTCCTGCGTTGTCGTGTTAGCATGCTAATGTTAGCTCTCTTTAGTTAGCTCGTAGCTTCACATTGTTGTGTTAGCATGCTAATGTTAGCGCTCTTTAGTTAGCTCGTAGCTTCACATTTCATGTAAACTGACACAGAATGAGCGTGATCTAAAAACTCTTACTAACATCCAAATAATCAGTGAGTATGTTCTTCTTCTTCTCTCTAGTTCTTGACTAAAACAGCTTTTATACACAAAGGGAGGAGCCGGCCGTCCCGTCCATGTAAACACGGCTCTGACAACAACACAGCCAGCGGGACTCGAGCTTCTCCCTCATTGTAGACAGTCAGGACTCAGAGACACATTTACACAGGAGAGACTTTAGGATTTATTTATGTGGAACATGTGGAACATTCTTCCTTTAAGGCTCCTTTGTTTGCTCTTCCTGACGTTGTCTCCTTCTCTCTAGATCTTTTCTTGTGCTGTACTTACTCTCTGATGTACCTCACTTTGGATAAATGCGTCTGCTAAGTGAATTGCAGAGTTGGAAGAGAGGGTATTTTCAGAAAAATGATATTCAGATATGGTACTTTTCAGGGCTGAAAGATGCTCTGGCAGAAAAACTGGATCAACAACATCATAACATGCATTTCCCTGTTAACATCAAAAAACAGGGCTGAGGTGATGAACTCAGATGGCAGGCGGTGATGTTGAGATGCTTCTCTGCTCTCCCAGAACATTGAAACGCCTGTGAAAAAGTTCATGCGTGTTTCATTTGAGAGAGAAAGGGCGCAGCAGAGTGGGCTGCTGTGTGTTTATGTAAACCCGTGGAGTGGCCTTGGTTACTCGGTGAATACACAGCAGCACAATACGCCATTGTTACGCCACCGCTACAGTTTGAGTGTAGGCCGCAATAACATCGACAGTGGTGGGAGGGTGAAACATTGGAGAAATGTTCCACAAAAGCAAAAAATATTGGCAGAGCAAATTCTCTCAGATAGAAGCAGACAAAAGACGGACAGCGGGAAGGACACGGGTGACGGGAAACTGACCGACCCTGAGAACAAATCGATCACCGAATTCTGCAGATGTATGTGAAGGAATCTTTTCACGACTTACAAAAACACATATGGACTTAAGAACAGCTAATTGAGACACAAAAGAAGGTGGATTTCTAAGAGCTCTATTCTCTCTCCTGACTGAATCATCACAAATCACCACAAAAGATGAACTTGTGTGTTTGGGTTTATCGGTCCAGTAGAACATCCGAGGACAGTGTCTGTGTGTTTCTGTCTAACAGAGCTGCAGTGCTTACATAATCTTAAAAAACAGAGCAGATAGTCTGCATCTTTTAAGCCTTTTTTCTTGTAAATGAAGTGAAGAATATGTTTTGGAAAAAAAATGAAGCACGGTTCTCATTTCTGTGTCACTTTTTTCCAAGTTGATTAAAAGTTCTGAAGATGCTCAGTGTTAGCCTTGAGGTTGTTGGGGGGGAAATAACTTGCTAAACCGTTGCTATGTTCCCATTTAAGGAGCTGCACATTTAGTATTTTCATCCAAAAAATCCACGGGACCAAATGATCAAAGTTTAAATGTTTACTTAAACTTAAATAAACAAAAAACAGATACAGGTTAGTCCAAAACTATACAAAAAGAGAGATGAGGAGAGAGAGGTCAAAAGACTGTGTGGCTCCACTCTCTACTAGTCCGAACTGAGCCCAATTAAGTCCACAAGCCCCTCCCCCTCCCAGATCCAATGAACAAAAAGTATTACATGCATCCATAAATTTAACATGATGAGCAATAAGGCTCCTACATTACCGGCCCCTAATTGTTATCAATGCCCTTGAAACAATTACTCAAAAACATCAACTTAAATCAAAAGAGCCCACATGTTATGTTAAACTAAAGAAAACTTCTTGTTGTTCTTCGTCCCATCGAATACTTGGCTTAGGATCTATTCCATTATCATCAACGCCTCATCCTAATTGAGGGCTTGATTTCCAGCACAGATCAAGTGTCCTCAGTTTCTTGAAGAAGACAAAGCTTGGTTATTGGACGCCATAGCTCATTAGTCTTGGTCTTCACTTTCACCTGGCGAACAAGGCCTTTCTTGTCGGGCTGGGTTGTCACGATTCTTCCAAGTGGCCATGAATTTCTCGGTGAAGTGTCATCCACAATCAGCACCACATCACCGTCACAGAAGTTTCTTCCAGGCGCGAACCATCGCTGACGTTCTTGGAGCTGTGTCAGGTATTCCTTGCACCAGCGTTTCCAGAAGACATCCGCAAGATATTGGACCTGACTCCATCTGCGGTTAGCATACTGGTCGTCTTTGTTGAAAACACCTGGAGGTAACTCTGGATTAACCTTCAGTAACAACAGGTGGTTGGGTGTTAAGGCCTCTAAATCATTGAGGTCTGAAGATGCCTTTGTGATGGGCCTGCTGTTTATGACTGCCTCTGCTTCACACAGCAAGGTATGGAGACCTTCTTCATCAAGAACCTGTTCCTTCACTGTGATGTTAAGAACTTTTCTTACTGAGCGTATCAGCCGCTCCCAGCTTCCTCCATGGTGAGAACCAGAAGGAGGATTAAAGTGCCATTGGACACCCTTCTGTTGCAAGGTATCAGCGATCTTACTGGTGTTCCATTCTTTGATTGACTTCCTCAACTCACTGTCAGCCGACCGAAAGTTTGTTCCATTATCCGAGTACATCTCCTTGACTTGTCCTCTTCTTGCAAGGAATCTCCTGATCGCGTTGAGGCACACATCTGTGTCAAGTGAAGATGCGACTTCCAGATGTACTGCTCGTATGGCGAGACACGTAAAGATAACACCATATCTCTTTATTTGCCGTCTTCCTCTTTTCACCAGGAATGGGCCAAAGTAGTCAACACCTACTCTTGTGAATGGAGGATCGTCAGGCAGGACCCTGCATTCTGGTAGATCTGCCATGAGCTGCTTGCCAGTAGTTCCATGTAACCTTTTACAGGGGACACACTTCGACAAGAACTTCCTGATGGCTCCATTCGCTCCAGGTATCCAGAATCTTTGACGTAATTGAGCCAACATGTGATTCCTTCCAGCATGAGTGTTAAATCGTGAATGTGTCTTATCACAAGCTTTGTGATGTCTGAATCCTTTGGCAAGATGACTGGCTGCTTGCAATCATCAGGCATTGCCACGGCTCAACCTGCTCCAACTCTAATGACTCCCTCTTGGAGTACTGGGTTCAACTTGTAGAGTGAACTGTTTTTCTTTACCCTTTGATGTTCTTTGAGCATTGTCAAATCTTCTTTGAAACTTTTCTTCTGACAGTACTTCACGACTTCAGTTTCTGCTTCATTTAAATCTTCACAGACTAGCTGTGTTCCTTTGAAAGCCTTTTTGAACTGATTCACTCTGCTTTCACCATGTAATGTGTTTGTTTCTTTTCTCTTTGCTTTCAGTTCCTTAAGCAAATCTTTCAACTTAAGAAACCAGGCCACTGCACGCTTTAGATTTGTCCAAGATGAGTAGTAAGTCATCAATTGGTCCATCACATCTTTGGGCTCTTGCACTTGAATGACATGTGCTTGAGCCACTCTTTTGACCTGTGGGTCATCAACATCAAGCATTCCAGGGTCTGGATTCTTAGGCCACTGGTCTTGTATGCTGAGCAAGAAACTTGGGCCTGAAAGCCAGCTTTCATTCTTCAAGAATGCTTCCACAGTCTGTCCTCTTGACACGTGATCAGCAGGATTCAAGTTGGTATTAACATATCTCCACTGAGAGGTCTGAGAGTGATCCAAGATTGCTGAGATTCTGTTAGAAACGAAAGTCTTGAATCTTGTGCTTTCACTGTTCAAGTACTTTAGCACAGCCGTGCTGTCAGTCCAATAGATTGAGTCTTGAAGTTCAAGTTCGATTTCTTTCTTCAGAAGCTTGTCCATCTTGACTGAGACTGTGGCCGCAGTAAGTTCCATTCTTGGTATAGTTGGAGACTTCAAAGGTGCGACCCTTGCCTTAGCCATCACCAAGGTGCATTGGGCTTCTCCAGATGCATTACGCAGCAGTAGGTAACTTGTTGTACCATAGGCATCTTCGCTTGCATCAGCAAAGTGATGTAGCTGTGCAAAGACTGGTGTACCAAACTGCTTTGTCTTGATACATCTGTCAACTCCAAACTTCTCCAGCTGTTG